TAGGAAAATTCCCTCTGAATGAGGCCGTGCTGATCAACATCCCTTTATAACCGGGCTTATGGTGCCCTCAATAAATGAGAAGGCAAGATGTGCATAAAACGAGAGAAATAGATTCGCGTTTACATCACTCTTGTTTGAACGGTCCTCCTGTCCTAGCGCAATAAGCATTTTATATCCTTAGCCATGCCGGGCCTTGAATTCAGTATATGTGAAATGTGTAACCAGTGTGTTGCCTTACGTCACCAAGGCACGCAGAACACGGTTAGTTAATCACATCTTAGCGGGCAATGGCTTTCACGACTGAGCGATGTGACTGTTTAGTCCGACTGCTCGGGTGACCACCCACCATCCTGAGGTTCACGACTGAGCGATGTGACTGTTTAGTCCGACTGCTCGGGTGACCACCCAGTAACCATCCTGAGTTTGTCAATCTATTGAACCCCCTATCATGACTTCCCAGTCAGCACCACAGTCCCTCAAGCTTGCTGGACACCTTCTTCACCAGTTTCAGGTAGTTGCGGAATCTATATAGAGTTCATATTCATATTACTGTTCAAACGAGAGTAGAGTGGACAAATAGAAGAGACAGATATCGTAGCCAAGTTGTTTCGCCACAACCTTTCTGACTTTTTCAGCAAATGTTATGGTGCTTACATTTTAAACCAGGTAGCAAGTGGCTACAGTTGCATGAGAACATGAACTGACGAAGAACTAGATTTATTACAAAACGGCTGTCCAGACAGCTTTATTCGAGAAACGTCCGATGACCTCCCCTAAAGCTTATACTAGGAACAGCAGAAAAGAATGGCCGGTTTGCTACCTTGCCTTGAAAGTGGAGGTAACCAGACAGCCAGTCCCCATAAAAGAAGCGGCTTGAGATACACCCACGAGGCCGGGTCTTCAAACTTTTCGTTCAATCTTTTAACTACTCATATCAAATGAAGTAACGTGGCAGATATCCGTAGCGTCAACTCTTCACAGTGCCCTAAGCAAAGGTGGATTTGCACAAACCAGAAACACCCTAGCAATAAAGTTTTCGAATAAATCGCTGGCCAGGCGGAACTCGATTTTTGTTACTCTAAAAGCCTAAAGCGAAAATTTAGTTTATTCAATGATTGTGTAGTGCGATATTTAAGATGAAAACTGACTGAAGTACTTCGTACGCATTGCGCCGGTGAGTGGTATAAGTGACATCGCTCTCCTTCGAAGGTATTATTGTCACCAATCCCTCATCTAAAATTTTCAGGTTTTTATGTTATCTTATACCACACAGTCTGTTGTATCTTGGTGGTGTGATTTTTCCTGCCAGTAGATATGAGACCTCGACCGTTGTGTTTTCAAAGAAGTGATGGTATCAGTACAAGGCAAGTTCCTAACTGAAAGAGAAATGAAGGTTCGACTAATTGTTTATCAGGTCACCGCTTATTTGTCCGTCGTCCGTCTTGCACACTTTTCGTCACCAAGAGAAGAGACATCATCAGTGAATCGTTAAGTTGGGTGAGAGTGGCCACCAAGGGGTGAATAAAACGTCATCAATCACTCACTCGGCCAAACACTAATCGGTAAAATCGCCGAAATTTGAACAACTTTTCGGGGGCTACTGGATTCGATCACTCATCTTATCCCCCCCCGCTTGTTCACACCATAATCCCCAACGTGTGCATTCCTGTGTCACCTCACTGCAGTGGTGTTAGCGTGCTACACACCCATGTCCTATGACGTGCGAAGTCGCAGTGAGGTAAGGTGATAATTTCTACGAGACGGACAGACAAGCGAAATCTGATGCGCAGAGATGAGCTGGTGAGATCTACACAGCTGGACGAACTGAAAGGAATCCATATTAAGCAGGATACAAACAATCACGTCTCCTGATAAGCCCAGGGAGAGAGTTTACTATCGTGAATCAGTTGGAGAAAGAATGCGTCTCTTGTAGCCACTCTTTTCTTGTCGGTTTTCTTTAGAAAAAAGCTGAACGGCACGACCAAGGATACCTTCGGAGCCGCCCGACTGACAAAGGTCGCAAAACAGGCACCAGAAAATACTATAAAGGGGGTACAGGGTTGGACCTCACCTCGAGGTTATGCAGGCACGCATATTGAGGATTGCTGGAGCAGTTGGTATAACACTGCGGGCATCCACACTGTGTTCAGCGGTTAGTCAAGGTAGAATGAATGATGGGACTCGAGAGCAGAATGTTTGTATTCGAGACTTCGATTAAAGTTGTTTTTATCCCCGAAGAGTTCTGTGCATCTCAGCCTCCCATACATAATAATTTATAGCTGCCAGCTGATGACCACTGAAATGCTAGCCTCAAAACTTTCAATGCCGCAACAAGGCAATCATAGGAGTCATCCGGAGAACAAGGCTGTCGAATAAATGTTACGGGGGCCTTCGACCCTGATGCTGAGAACAAGTCTTCATATGTCGGAAGCCTATCTGCGCAGCTTATTCCCAATTATTTAAGACGGTTGAAGTATTTTGAGGGAGGGATACCGTGTAAGAAGAGGCCATTACGGGGAAGGGACCATTTTAACTGCATTTGAGGTGNCATCTCAGCCTCCCATACATAATAATTTACAGCAGCCAGCTGATGACCATCGACCTTACACTGGCCGCCAAGCTGTTGGGACGTTACCACCACGTGTGACCTTGGAAAAACCACTCATTCAGTAGTAGTTTCAGGTTTTGTAATAGGAATTTCGCCCTTGCAGTGGAATTAGTCTCGGCTGAATAGCCAAGAAGCACTGTACCACTGTTCCTTTTCGGAACATTGCTACTACAAATCACACAAACCTCTAGCAAATTCGAACTCTACACCTTTCGTTTGAAGGCTGAGTACTATGTAGATCGACCAGAAAGAGCTAACCAAAAGTGTGGTTAAATTGCACTTGGAATGCAATATCTGTTTCACGAATGTTTTACTCACTTGTCAGGGAACAGTACCCAATATACGAGTTGAGCACTGTCAAACTCGGTGCCCCGTAGAAATCTGCTCAGACCTAGACTCATATATTCTATCTCCACTGGATACTTCATTGCAGTCAATAGCGGTTAAGGTAATGTACTATGAATGACACTAAAGCAATAGTTTCGACAGACCAAGTGGACCGAGTCTTAGGTGGACACAGGACCAATCAGTGGGCTTCCTTACGAGAACATTAATCTGTGGCCCGCAGTTCACGGGCTTCCTTACGAGAACATTAATCTGTGCCCCGCAGTCTTCCAGTGTTTTTTCCCGTACTTTATGAAAGGTTACTAGACTACGCATCAATAAACAGGACACTTGGCGGAGGAGTGCCCTCTAGGAATGGGACGTCCTTGGAAATCTAGCCACTGTCTACCTGAACCCCATTCGTAACTAGCTTTCGATCAGACTACCATCTTGTTGTAAGTTTTCTCACTTTGAGAGCTCTACAACCTATTGGAACTTAAAATAAAAGACCCGAGCCAATGAACCCCCCATCCGTTTAGAAATAGACCGGCGATAATTTACACACATTTATTTACTGTTTCATAAAACCATCATTTAAAAAGTGGAAATATCTAGAGACAATCAGTTGCCGAGAGGCGAAAAAGAAACAAAGGATGACGGAAGACTGCAATATATACGGAAGCATGATTGGTGAAAGGAAGTAAATGCGCACGTTGTGCCCCGATGGATGGCGACTAGATCTGAATCTTGCACCTTGGACAACGTACAGTTTGGCGGTTGGAGTTCAGTTCGAGACGACAATGCCGGAGAGCATCCACCATTAGTCTGTTGAAAAAACAGCGACAATTCAGCAGACCAGATTCATACATAATTATGTTGAGTAAAACTTCAGACGGGAAAAAAACTTCGTGACTCAAATTTGCTCAAACGCTCAGGTGCCATGTAACGATAGCATGATGAGTTGGGTTTCTGAGGTTAAATTTGGTGTCGATGGTTCCCAACGAGGCAGCTGCTATTGCCCTGCTGATGATCGGGTAGGTTCACCAACTGATACACTGGACAAAACCGCTCTGTGTAGAGACTGCACAACACGAATCTGAAGCCACAAGACTCGTATGTTCGCTGGTATAAGCCCATCCCCCTAGGAGACGAATTGGGTACAGGTTGCGCTCAGCCAGGCATCCCCAGTATCTCGATACCATAAAACGAACAAAAGGCTTACTTGTGTTTTATCCCAATTAGTTCATCGAATTCTGAATCTGATGAGCAGTTCAACGGGATCGTAGCACGACGTCGCGCGACCTGCCTCAGCCGCGCACGATCACGTGGGGGCAATTTTCGAGCACTTGGAAATTCCTTGCCCTGTTCTTGCCCCAACAACAGTGCGCTGTCCAAAAGTTGGTTGTGTAAAAGCATATTGACGCCCATTAGAATCCGGTATAGGGTGTCTTGAACTTCGGGCAAACAGACTGATGGTTTTCCCCGGTCTATTGTGCAACCGCTATTGCACTGAGAAATGATCTTGGAGGCAGTTGAGCATTGTAGTCCAATGGCATTCACCAACTGGGCGACTGCCTCTGCTTCATCATGTGCCCGACAAGAAATCGTCCTGAAAAAAATGATCAAAATGAATCAAAAATGTGAGGGATTTCAAAAAAGTATTACGGAAAGGAACAGAAGTAGCTTTCATAAGTCAGCATTACACTTAACGACAACATCAGTGTAGAACTCTGGAAGGAAGAACAAAGCTCAATGCTGCTCGCTCGTTGACATACGAGCCCGTTAATTTGTTTCACTATCGCGCTGTAGTGAAAAGAAACTCAGAGAGGGAGAGAGGAGGCAAGGTTATAACACTGGCTCAATGCATCTACAGTTCGACATTGCCTCGGAAATTTTAAATGACGCCTAAAAACATGAAGCCCTCTGAGATAGAACAAGAAATATATACTTTGCATTGTCCCCGCCAAATACGAGGGGTCAAGTAGACCCTATCCTGGACACACCAAAAGCATATAGGCCTTTCGTGAAATCTTCAACCTTCTCTTCCAGGTCATACGCTGCCCTTATTTTGATTTGCGCCACTGCCAGTGGGATATGAATCATTTTCGATAGGCGATGTACCAACATTCGTGGCCCACAACCGGGTCACTAAGGGCTGTGGTTAGGTGCACCCCAGACACTAGCCCATATCGCCTACGGTTTTGACATGTAGAAAATCAGGTCTGACGACACCCTAGATCCCCTACGCAGAACGTATCTACGTCTTCTAAGCGTACAAAAAACAAGCCTTCTTGTAGTTTGGTACACACACTATCCAAGACCTTGTTATATGCCACAGAAGTATTTTTTCTGAGTACCAACCAGATTGCTTCCTTCCCGACTAGCTCACACCTCATTCTTCGACATTTACATGTGACCATACACAGCTATGATGAGACGCATTTGAATATCAAAAAGCATATGTAGTTTGTAAACTAGGATCGAAACGGTCGTACAAGGGGGGGAACAAGACAAAATACAGCAAAGGAAGAACACAGAGAAGGTTGGACATTGTAAGTGAAACTAAAACTCACGTGGAACATGACCGGTTGCGCAACAAGAGCAAGTATTTTACGACACACAAGACAGGTTGGACAGGATGGTCACAATAAGAAACGTAGAAACCAACCTCAAATAGTCTAACCGAGCCTTAAGGGCCTTTGAGAAGCGCTCTGTCCGCGATATCAGTACGGACGCGGGAGGTCGCACTGTGCCAGGATCGACAGTGTCCGCTCGGGACTGTACGCCAGATGACAGTATCGATATGAACTCATTGCGAATGTCGGCAACATCCACCTTTCGGTCTGACTTAGTCCAGTTTAAAATGCTATCGGTTGTTGGACAGCTACCGTCATCAGATGACGGACCATCGGAATGCCTGTGATGTTGACGCAGTTCTCGCGCAAAAACTGACTTTGGTAAACCCGGGGAGGTGGACTCCGTAATCAGTGGGGTTGCTCGGAGAGGCGCTGATTCGCACAGGCTTGAAGAGGCAGACGAACTGGACGCCACTGGTACCGTCGTTGATGGGCTGGGTCCACATCCACTACTTGAACTGCTTCCTTTGAGACGATATTTAGTTTGATCTTCTTCTGAGTGAAAAACGCTCAGCGCAGTGGAGTCCAGCTGATGACAAAGCAGAACAACATTGTGACCGATATGACATAAAGATAAGAAAGTAGTAAAAAAAAGTAGATGTGACTCTCAAGTAAACAAGACAACCGTTGCTGTCTTTTTGGGTCGCTTTAGCTAACTGAATTTGTGACGCAACACAGTCAAAGGGTAATCGGTCAGAACAACAAAAACAAACAAGTTACGGCGCAGCTATTCCAATAATCGAGTGGCTTGAAAGAAAGTTGGGCATACCGAATAATATCAGGAAGATGTTCTCACATAAACCAAAGGACAATGAGATCATGTAAGTTCCGGACGTTAATGCTGGTCACAAAAAGCTGGGCTATGCGTTTGGCTATCATGACGTACAACGAGTAGGATGACGGGGCAGAACGACTCGTATTATTTATCTATAAATGCTTTGTTTGTTGTACACAAACAAACAAGGCCTTCGTCTTGCTTTTCATAACCGATAGAAGCCACCAACAGAACTTCCAGTGAGAATATCACATCAAGTGCCTGTCCGAGTCTACACCTGTTGCTATGACTGGAAGTGGTGAGCATCACGTCGGTAGACGCCTCAAGAGGAGTAGTACATGACCTATATAGTTGTGGATGATGAAACAACTGTGCCTTCTGATTCACCCGAATCGGAGAGCCAGGTTACGAATTTTTAGAGGCTTTCGGCGCGAGTAAGCATAAAATTCAACGCAATAAAAGTGATTGGATACAGTCATGTGAGATTTTCCAAGAGACTCACATCATTCTCTTTGTACAAGACTGGAAACAGTACAGATGCTGCGAGACCGACTACACCAGGCTGTCATTTCTCAACCAGACCATTTAAATGGACTCCGTCTTTCTTCTGTGCGCTGGTTTTGTAGCGGATAAACTTCAAAAATATACTAGGTGAGTGGAAGCCTTAAGAAAGGTCTGTGTTGTCTCGACAGGAACCTTGATCCCGGAACCTTTGGGCTTAACACCACAACTAACCACCTTACTGGTTTCTTTTTCGTCCCTAATCAGGGGTTTTTCGGTGGTTATGGATCAGTGTTGTCGTATTCTTTTGCCTGACAAAGACGTTAACATGGTTCTGCTGAGACTGCATCATTCTCCACTGCTTTTAAGGCAACGCGGCTGGAGTCTGTCTTCTGAATTTGTTATGGATTTTGTCTGGTGTTAGTAACTTGGAGGTATCTCAGTCCCTGTGATTCGTACGCGCTACAAAGCAACTACGTGTCACAAATGTGCCAAAACCGGACGACCTGATTTGATTTGTTTGTGAGACTTGAAAACACGCGTGTTTATTTGGTAAACCACTAATACGCATTTCAATCCTAACTTTATCAGAACTAGCCTGTCACGTGACTGGGTTTGTGTGCATAAACACTGGCACCTAGTCTTATCACAGCATGAATGAATGAATGGAACCAATGGATGAAAACCTACCTGGAAGATTAGTAAAACAATCCGGTTGGAATAGATATTAGGGTAAGGAGACTACCAGGTTACAACTGCCCAGAGATTTCTATTGTCACTGGCTACACCATCCACTATTTCGCGGTCGAACAGTTCTAATCTTTCAGATAAGACAACGTCCATACTGAACTGCCTTAGTAGAGTACAACTCATGCAACAAAGCTGTTCAAAGCCCTTCGCGAAATGCTCTCCAAATACCAGATACGACTGCATATTGTTCTGAAACGGCCATACCTTCTTGCGGTGGATCTCAAGTAAAAAAAAGGTTGAAAGTAGTACACACCGATGTATGACAGGTTGCTCGATGTCGGTCGTGGGGAGCTCGAACCACCAGTGGACGGTGAACAAGGGACCGAACGTGGCTTTAGGCGCAATCGGCGGTTCAATTTTTTTAGCACTAGTTTTATCCTCTGCAGGCATGTACCCGGCGAAAAGTAATCAGTCTTCTCGCACGTAATCCCATACCATACAAAAAAGGACCGTCCCAAAGCTTCACACCCTTACGGATCTGACCTGAGCCAAAATTCGCGGAAATGGTTTGAGACACAGAAGGGTGAATAAAAGTAAGGAAAAACAGAGTTGTTTGCTATATACAGAGAGTTGGAACACAGTTCCTGATACAGGATAAGTTCATCCAGTCATCTGTCGCCAGCATGGCTAAGAGAGTTCAAGTTTCTTGGGGGATTGTATGCGGAGTATCCTTCTAGAAAAGTTACCTAGGGGAACGACCAAAACTGCCCAATCCGAAAGGAACTTTGCAACCTAAACGTGCCAACTGACGAGCCAAGAAAATGGTCTCTCTAGAGAAGAACAACTTTATGATAAGGAGGCTTAAACTATAGTGAATGCATTCCAAGGGTATTTGCGTCAGCGATTGGTCCTTGTACTGCAGCCTTACACATGCCAAGAAGAGACTTGGAAGAGATTTCTGAAGCCAAAGTAAGTGAACCATCTAAGTACGCACGTCATGAGAAAAAGCCTAGGACTGTAAACTGAAGAAACACCAAAACTACAGGTCACAGTAAAAAGAAGTGATGAATCTAACTGTGTGAAGATGCCCTTCCAAAGCGCAACTATTCATGACAGGGGCAGAACGTAAAGAAAGTGTGAATCCTGTTTACAAAAACTGACATTGAACTAGTGGGATGAACGGTTATAAATGCCCAAAAATACGTGGCATGTACCGTGGTTGTGTGAACAGCTGTGGAAGTATGTGACATCATCATGGGGGGCTTGTCAACTTGAACGTCCAGCGGTGCGCTCGGATTCTGAAACTCACGAGGTAGTCGGTTGACCGGAGAAGAAGATAGACTAGGCACTGCGCTTTGCGGGGATGGGTGCCTGAACGAGTATACAAAAACGGGGAAGTGAAAGTATCGTATACAACTACGTGAAGCGAAGACTTCTGCATGAAAATACAACAGCAGTTGAAATGGGTAACCTTAGGTATATGAGCAACATGCAATCAACACAATGTGAGAGAGAGATACGGCAACTGAAAGGGTTTGTTGTTGATGCAACTCTACCCCATTATGGGTTCCTCCGAGCTCTGATAGGAAACGTTACAGAATAAGGTCGTTAGCGGACAGCGGGATCATTCTTGGTGCCGGGTTCGAGCCAGTGCATTCATGCACCTGTAACACACTCGATGCCTAGCTGTCATGCCACCCGAGGAAGCACGAACTGAAAGGGTTTGTTGTTGATGCAACTCTACCCCATTATGGGTTCCTCCGAGCTCTGATAGGAAACGTTACAGAATAAGGTCGTTAGCGGACAGCGGGATCATTCTTGGTGCCGGGTTCGAGCCAGTGCATTCATGCACCTGTAACACACTCGATGCCTAGCTGTCATGCCACCCGAAGGAAGCACGAGGGCTAGGATACTATCACGTTGTCCAAGCCTAGACAGGGGAAGTCGAGAGGCAGAGGTCGGGTTCGAACCGCGGACCTTCCGATCAGCGAATTCGCACTCTAACCACTGAGCCATCTCACCAATATTCACTGAACAGCATGAGGACCGGTGAAGACATTGCACAGCTGTCAGGGTACATAATTCGATCAGTGACAAAAAGGGATAAGAAATTAAAGGTACCTCTTTTTGCTGGGTCAGTTATCTTCATGAAGCCGACTGATCTGCAACTATGGGAATCGACATTTTTCCGGGAACTGAACACCTAAGGTTAGATATCACTCCACATGGAAAGCGGTTTCTGAAGTGCTCCGACAGTTAACTTAAACTTGGTGTACCATCGCACGCTTCCAAATTCAACTGATTGGTGAATTTGTGCTAAATCAAACAAAGATCTTCAACTAACCAGACAACGCTAACGAGTGAAGTGTTAGACTACACCGATGATCTTAGAACGCTAGATACCATATGCAACGGCCAACTACCCTTCGAAAGGTAGGATGTATTATATCCATACTTTGAGAGTGGCGGAAGGAGCCTCAATTTCTAGTGTGGCCGCGCAGTAAAGGGACCGCTAAGTGCCCGACAGGTGACCACGTGTGCTCAGTGCATTGTCATCACCACGAATGGTGGCAACAGCGTTCACAATGAGGCTTCAGTGCTATTGTATGATATCCACCTGTAACAGGTCCGACGACTGTATTTCCCGATTTCTGGTCCTTATTGAGGACTAGTAGAGTTAAAGTATCGTAATTTGTCTTGACCTTTCTGGAGAAAGTGTCGGTACTTTACACTCAAAACCCAATGGTCTAGTTCGGAGACAGATTGATCATTTAAGGGGAGCAAACGGGCACGATTAGATAGAATGGGATCATCCTTGTATTCTCATTAATTCTTGTATGAACCCGACTGACAGTAAACAACACCTGAGTTCCGCTGTCTTTTGATTGGTTGTAAACCCAGCTATATAAGATTAGGCTGAGATGGCGATATTTCAAAAATCACCAACCTTACAATCTCCATAATATTGTCAGCGTCTTTTGGAGTGGTTGGAGGCGAGACTGGCAACTGCATCGATAAAATTGATGGAAGGCGAGGATAACGTGAGCCTGGTGATGGTGTATGTTGCTTTATAGCCAAGTCAGCTTTGCCAGAGGTAAACAAGGACTGAGTGTCCGAAGAAATGCGGGTGACCCTACTATGTTGGGTCGCGGTGTCACCGGTTGCGAACGTTCGCGGGAGCCCAGCATCACATGTTGACTTTGTAACTGTGGGGCTGCCATGGGTTAGATTTCGGACGCACGGTGGAGCAGCGTATATTCTACCAACGCTCCGTGGTAACTCGGGAGAATGGGAAAGATCGATCCCTACAAAGGGAAAGCACTCAGATTAAGCACCAAAAACCCTGATGGTAAAGTGGGTACAAAAACAAATCCAAAATAAGGATGAAGTTCGTCTCGGCTTGGCACAACGCGTCGGTGGGTTGCTTTTCAGCATCAATCACACTATGCTTTATAATCGAAATCCCCAAATACAGACCTCACACACTTCATACTTGGCAGATTCTCCGACAGGATACTGAAGAAAAATCAGCGAGAATTACTGACACATCTCGTCCAATTGGCTACGAGAAATGCCTTTTTCATATTCACCATGCATTCAAGTATGTTTAGTGGCTGTGTGGCGTTGCAGTAAACGCTGAAAAACACCATCTGTGTTTAAAATTAAAACATTTCCCCGGCAACTATACCTTCTCAATGAGAAAAAGATGATCATGCGCCACACTGATCCAGTTAAGTGCATGTGAGAATTTCTGCAAAAGCCAGAGAAACCTATCGATAAGGTCCTGAGCTCATTGATGTCCGAAGGTAGTGGCTTTCCCATGCACCGTTTATTTTTAACTACTACAATTCCTAGCTCGTTACATGCACGACACCTCAGAGTTTCGTAATCTGATGCAATGAGGTGATAGTGCAAATAGCCACGAGCTCTTAGCATCCTCAGTTCTATCAGCTGGTGCCGGGGGTATCAGTTCTAGTGGCATCAATTTTGTTTCAACAATTAAACTCGACCTCTTTGCACCATATGACTTCATCACATTGTAAAAATACTGAGTGTTATCTAATCAATTTTCTCGTATCATCTACAAATTTTCCAAAAACCCTGCTAATTCGTGAGACAAGCATATGCAAAATCACTTCTGTCGGATGGCCTGGTCATCTGGTAAGAGTTACAACTGCAGATATTGAAACGCGTTCCTTTCTCTGCATGGCTGTTGCTGGGAGCTGCGAATCTAAGTTACCGTCTGTCAGATGTGGCCAAGTACAATCTCAAAATATAAAAAAAGAACTCTGAATAATGTACGATCTCGCTTAGCGGTCCGTCGCTGAATACCAGACTCCGTAAGCGGCACAAATATGTGAAAACCAAGTCTCAATAGAGTATCCATTTCGATTGTCCCCGTCCCTCTCCAAGGACTTGCATTTTCGTTCGCATCACATGATTTTGGGTAGATATCCAAAATCATTACCTAGTTAGTAGCATTTGTAAGGTCAGTTGCCATCCAGATTGTATGAGCTGTTGGAGCAGACGCGAGAGTGCTCGCAGCAGGCCCAGTTTATTCTACCACTCTCCAACCTTCATCATTTAACTTCACTTAGATACAACAGCCGATATCATAGTGAATCATAGTCCGATATTCATTGTATGAAATTCAGTGTGTTGGGATTCCAGACCGTTGTACTTTGTCTTGTCGAAGCGTACTACCTGGTGCACCAAGCTCGATATTCAAAGGTCACCTCGTGACAAATGCAGAATTACCCATTGTGGCATCATCTTACAACGAGGCAATAAATAGGAGAATGCAATCAAAGTGACTCAGAGGAAAATGTTCTACCGGTCCACATACACCTAGAGCTCTCAGATTTGGGACAGACTGGATCTTTCGGTTCCATTCGGGAACGTGAGTAAATTACGGTGACAAACTAAACTGTCTGATAGGAGGCAGAAGTAAGTACTCACCGGGCAATATGCGGTCTACCTAAATGATCTTGTACACATTTTGGGGACCGCAGTTTCCACACACACACACATACGTTCGTGTTTTGTTAAGTTTTCATCTAACTGAGAACGCGTAATCCAATGGTGTTCCCCAAAAGCTATACTGGGTCTGATGGTTTTTGAATCAATAAATCTTTGGAACAAAGGAAGCCGCTTCAGAGGCCTAGAAGTATTCATAAGTCGAACACTAGTAGAAGCTGGAATTCATGCGAACATGGAAATACAGCAATACTTCGATCGTCATTCAAGCTTCAGGTAAGAACAGAAACACTAACAGCCTCGTGCATCCGGGGGAAGTGGACTGCCAGTATTCGCCGATGTCCAATTATTGGGACACAGCTGGTAACCGCCAGAAAACAACAGTCAGCTGTGTGTGGACAACTTCCACGGCCAGCCAATCAATAGCGGTGCAAGCAGATAAGCCATTCGATTAAAAATATCGATAAACCTCTACCGACAGGCGAACGTTAAGTTCCGATCAGAACTGGACGGAAAGGGAGAATAATCAAGACAGTCCCATTAGTTTCAAAATCAGAAATCTGCCAAAGACTGAAAAGCAGAAATCCAGGAATTCCGACAAAATAGTGAGGGGAATTTCTATGCAAACAACTCCGAAGGGTACCGAGATCCATGAAAAATAGGCCAAAAACTGTGTCGGTTTGTGTGAAAATATAACCGATCGTGCTTTGGTATGACCCAGTGGTGCAGATTGTAT